TGCCATCTACACTGATCTTAAAGCTGCGTTTGATAGAGTTGTGCACGACGTTCTGCTAGCAAAGCTTGAAAAAATTGGATGTTCTGTTTCCTTCTGCAGCTGGTTTAGATCGTACCTCGTGCAACGTGAAGTTACTGTATGCATTGGAAACTACTCATCGTACTGTTTCTCGAACAGATCAGGAGTTCCACAGGGTAGCACTTTGGGACCAATGCTCTTCTTTTTATTTGTGAACGATGTAACGTTTATTCTACTACGAGGAGGTAAATTGTTTTTTGCCGATGACTTGAAGATTTATCTAGTCGTTCGAGGCTATGCCGACTGTTTAGAACTACAAAACCTTCTTGAAATCTTTAATGATTGGTGTGAACGTAATTTTATGGTCCTGTGCGTCTCAAAGTGCTGCGTAATTAGTTTCCGTCGAACTAGGACTGCCATTTTGTTTGATTATAACGTTGCTGGAACTGCAGTTCAACGTGTCGATCACGTTAAAGACCTCGGTGTCATGTTGGATGAAAAGCTCACATACACTCGCCACTTCTCAACCACGATCGACAAAGCTAATCGACAGCTTGGATTCATGTTCAAGATATCTAAGGAATTTCGTGATCCTCTGTGTTTTAAAGCCCTTTACTGTTCATTGGTACGCTCACTACTGGAATTCGCGAGTGTAGTTTGGAATCCCTACCAAGCTGTATGGAGTGGACGATTCGAAGCTGTTCAACGCAAATTCGTCAGATACGCACTGCGCTATCTTCCATGGAGTGACCCGCTGAATTTACCACCGTATGCTGACCGCTGTCGTTTACTGGGTTTGGATACTCTTGCTAAGCGACGAAACATATCGCAGGTCGTCTTCGTTGCTAAAGTTTTACTCGCAGAATATGATGTTCCTGAGTTACTGGCCAAAATTAATCTGTATGCTCCTGCCCGAACACTCCGTCCGAGAACCTTGCTACATGAAGTAGTACATGCAACCAACTATGCTGCAAACAGTTCCTTTGTTGCCATGATTCATCAATTCAACGAAGCCTCTGACCTATTTGACTTTGACATCAATGCCTCGATGTTTCGTCATCGTTTGCTGTTGGCCAATTTTTAATTTTTAATGAGTGACTACATTTAGATTTAAGTGTTTCATTGAGACTATCAAGTCAGATGGACTATAATAATAATAAATAATAATAAATAATAAATAATAACTACATGGTTAATTTGAGAAAGCGTCGCTGCGCTGTAGTTGTCGAGAAGGCTAATAGCTCCTGCGTGAAATGTAGAGCTATCAGGATCTGGGTACAGGAATCCGCTATGAGATGGACTCCACGAAACGCCTGGCAGATTGAAGTCACCAAAAATGAATATCTCATCAACTGGAGTGGCACTTTCGATAACTGTGAAAACTGACCGACAGTGAGTATCGATGAGTTCATTCTCCCGGACTCGATCAGGTGGAATATACAGAGCGCATAGAAATAGTGTGCGATCACCCAGATTGATGGCTGCCCAAACCTGCTCCACATAGTGCCATGAATCGTTCTCGATGGCCTCCAACACGCCACGGACAGCTACAAGGACACCTCCACCAGTAGATTTACGGCTGTTGTTAGGATTCCAATCGCAATGAAAGACCTCGTAGTCAGGACCGAAGACTTGACTGGAAAGCGTTCGATAATCGAGCCACGTTTCGCACAGGACAATTACATCGTAGCAACAATCCGATACAGCTAGGTGGTACTCTTCAACATCAGAATTCATTCCACCGGCGTTTTGGTAGAAGATCACGACGTCCTGCTTGTGGCAAGGAAGCGAACGACTGCTCTCCCTGGAAATCACAGATATACCAGGCAATAACTGACCATCATCAAGTCTCATTTGATACTCGCCATAGTGAGTGGGTTGGAAGACCCCCTCTCCACATCCGACAGCAGGTCTGGAACGACTATGATGAACAAAGGCTGCTGATGGCAGGACTGAGACGGAGGGATTGGGGGCTTCTATGGGGTTTTCTACGGTGCGTTCCGGGTTCCCAGGATTGGAAGTTACAGAGGCATCATCATAATGACTAACGTAATCCGAATTGCTGAAAATTTGATCGGCATCAGGCAGTGAATAGTCAATATATTGATTGTACTTGCCTGTATTGACAAGGTGGAAGACTCCTGATTCATATTCAGCCACATGTCCAGAACGACTATGCTGAACGCTGGCAGGAATCGGCACGACTGGACTGGAGGAACCAGGAGCTTCCAAAGAGTGGTGTTTTGTGCGTCTCGGAGATGAATTAGGATTGTTCGAACAGTAAAGCGGATGTTGTGAATGAGCAGTATCAGAAATGCTTCTCAATTGGAAATAGCCGACAGATGCTTGAGGCGTTGCACTGGAACACGGAAGCTGATCAGGAAAATTACTGTAACTAATGTATGCATACTTGTCTGAAAACGATGGTTGGGAAACCTCACCACCAAACTCGACCGTAGGTCCAGAACGACGCTGATGGCAGGAAATAGAACGACTTTGATGGCAAAAAACAGCTTGCGCGGCTGGATCGAGTGGTTCGAGGTCTCCCATAATGCGACAGACAGTGCGTTCTGGTTTACAGCGTTCCAATTCACAACGAGGCATCCAATTCTGAATCAGCATACTGGGTCTAGTCCGGAGATGGGAGTTGAGAACTCGGAAGGTCCCGGAACAGGAAAGATCGTGATGGTTGGCGTGTTCAAACTAGGCATCCACATGTTTTTTGAACCGTCTTAAATTCACGGAACAAAATTCCTTTCGGCCATGTATCCGATGTAAGAGCAACTTCACGTAGTTTGGGAGCCAATCCAACTTTGTACGATATGTAACTCATACGGCTGATGTCGGATCCTTTTTTTAACTAGCGGCACAACCTTAATCGGATCATCGCACTGTACACAACTTTTGACCAGCTTCTCGATTGATTCCGATTTCACGCTAGGATGTATACGAGAAAGGTACAGCCAAAACAGCTCGGTGGGTTCAGGGACAGTAAGGACCTCGGCAAAGACATTGTCATCCGTTACTGCTTTAGTACCACCAACAAGTGGTTTGCTGGTTAGAGAGCCTTCATCGCGGCGCCAAACTCAAGTGTGTTGGAGTTGTCAATGCGATTCGTTTCGACAGCTGAGCGATCTGCTGTCCTTGCTTAGTAATTTCCTTCCTAAGCTCAGCGTGTGCGATTTCCTGTTTCTCGGTGATAGAATTAATCGCACTACCAAACGACGAAACAGCAGTTTTGAACCGGGCACATTTCATCAGCTTCGCGCACTCGTTGCACATCCAAAACAAGTTCGGGCTAGTGTGGACTATGTTCAGAAAAACCTTGTTCAACTTTGTGCCGCCGCATTTTAGGTGAATCATCCTGCCGCAGAAAGCCATGCAGGAGACGGATTCTTCATCGTCTTTAACTGGTTTAGCGCATTGGTCACACGCGGAAGTCATGCTGACTCAGTGTCCAAATATAATTTAGAAACAGCTGTGGAGACAAGGAGGAGTTGGATTCTGCAGAGCGTCTGATATCGATAATAACACAACAGTAAACACTACAAGATGACCGCTTAGATAACTTTTTCACTGTTTTTTTTACAACACGGAATATGCTTCAAATAGACGATTATCGCAACGAACTGCACTTTCCACTAACAACCGGTAAAATTTTGCAAGTCTACAGAACGGGAAAAACGAAGAACGATAGCTCGTATGGCGAGGTATGGGAATGAAACCTTCAATAAAAACCTTCAATAAACGTATTAGGGGAAATGGATGTAATGTCGGCTTAAATGCCCCTAATTTGGGCCCATACATACATAGCAATCGACTAAATTTTCACTAGCGTTCAAAAATATCCAATAGTACCGTCCTAATGACGCGTTCATCTAGATAAACTTGATAAATATCAGATTTTTAGCAATGGGCCTAATCTTAGATCCATAGACCAACATTAGGGCCATTTCCCCTATATTAAATATACATAATATAAAAAAATATAGTGATTTATATAGCTAGATTTAAACTTTTTATCACCCATAAACAATCCAAATTAATAAATAAACAATTCGGACAAAATAAGCGGTTTAAAACTTATCTCCCGTACCTCGCTGTGTTAAGAGATGAACTAGCCTATGGCTAAACATCTCTTAAATAAAGATTTAAAAAAAAACTCGCTGTGTAACATTTTAAAATCTGCATTCGATGTTTTTAAAAATGGCCGCGAAATACCAAGTATTTTTGGCCTATTGATTTTGATTAAAATCAATGAATTTTATTCGAGTCTATTTAGTTAGTTAATTCTGCCCCATTGTTAGACGTGAAGAAATCGCCAAATTTACATGGTTTCATTAACGAAAACAATAATTCCGGAAAATTGAACATTTCTAAAAATGGTCATACGGGAAATGTCATACAATCTATATGCCGAAGTAGTGCTACATCCTACGTTGCAAGTTGTAACTTACAACAGCAGCATGCTGAGACGATTCCCAGTTAAAATACGAATAACAAAGACCGATACTTGATAACACAATAGGTCATCGGTTTTAGTCACTGATAAACATCGCCAGCTACTCCAATAGCACGTACATACTTTCAAATGTGTATAAACCCTGCCGGCTGGATGACACACTCATCATTTATTCAAGTCTTTCTTCGCGGGTTGTTTAAATGCCTGCATTTAGTTCACCGGTAGAAACCTCAATCCGCACCCGTTGGTACAATCTGTTTGTCATCGCAAAGCCAAAGCACACATCGCTGCATAGGTACCCTCATCGATCATTATTCAATTCGCGCCCAATGAGTCTGGAGTAGCTATTATAGAGCTCTCGAGTTTATTGTTATCGCCCTGTTTTACGTGTGTGTGCATTTGAACAATTGTAAGCCTTACTCCCCGGTTTACTATCTATACCGACGACTGTAATGCCTTGTAGATAAAGAGCTATTTTTTGCCTCCCCTACTGATTCTAATTGACTTGTTGTACTTGCAGACTTACACGAGGACCGGTCAGATACAGTCAGTCCGCATTGTGATAGTGAACAGGATCGTTGAACGTGCCCAGCATTCGTTTTAAATTTCCACCGATCGTCAGCAACCATGGCGGAAAGGTAAGTGAGATTGAGCTTCTTAAATTTTCTTTCTGTGACGATTAATGGGTTTGCCAAGTAGAAAAAGAAGACAGCATATTTTATCCCGTTAGTCCGTAACGATATCAAAATGACATATCCGGCTTAACGAGCTTCATAATGGGCAACAATAAAAGAGGGCTGGAGTGAGCCCAATCATTTTCTGGCATAACCTTAGGGGAACCATGCCCACGGGAAGAAAGGAAATTGCAAAGTACGGAATTAATTAATTCAATCCCAAAACTCTTACGTACGATCCGTAGGCTCTTTAAACAACGGCACGAGTCTGCACCGAATCGCGGGAGATAGAATCCGCTAGTCTCTTCTTTCTAAAAAAAAAGTGAATCATCATTTTTCGGCATCGCTTCTGTCGGGACCGGCTGTCTCGAAAAGCTCTCGCCGGTCAATGCCCGCACTGCCATCCGCCATGCAAGGCTTTCTCTGACGCTCTATGCCCGGAGGCAACCGCGGGGAGGAGGTAGATTTGCCTATTTTACTTGATCCGCCCGGTCTAGGATAGAATGATGCGAAATTCCCGTTAATTACCATGGCGTGGTCCAAAGAACATGGTGTATAATAAAAATCTATACGAAGATTAGAACATTGCGTGGAGATAGCCAACCGCAGATTTTGCGTAGAGTCATTTGCCGAGTGGCTTGGCCGTTAAATTTTCGGAGTTCTTTCTCCATCGCGGTACGCACTATTGGGCAGTGATACCAAATTTGATGGTCCCCGAATACCTGACAATAGCTGATGGTTCTGGGCCAAGCTGGCAACACTGTCGGCATAGCAACAAGCGGTCGAAAATTTCGACGAAGTTGAAGAACAAATTTCGCGGAGAAATTCTTCTAATCCAATCTTCCGCGAAAGCCTGCAATAAAGCGAATCGTTGCTCTCTTGATGATGATTAGGTACATCAGCTGACGGGACGGGAGACCGTGCCGCTGGCGCTGATGGAATGGAATAGATTTTGCGGGAAGAACGTGTACCACAGCACCCGGCAGCGCTCGTGGGAAGGAAAGAAGGTGGAATTAAAAAGCTAGCCTGTCTGCGGTGGCCGAAGAAAGCCGAGCAAATCCACGCCAAATAGAGAAAAAATATAAACGAATTTCAGAAGTTACGCTAGGGGCAATGAACCAAGTTTGTGCTGGAACACGGCCTAATTTTTCAAAATGGCGTATGCGATATTTTTCAATAAATCATAGCGCGAAAACGGTTCATCTAATCGAAACGACGTCTGAGACAAAAGTGATTGATGGAGTGGTAAAATAAGATCGATTCGTCAGCCGGCGTGGATTTGCTCAGCCACCAAGCCAACGTAAGAGGGGAATAATTGGAAGAGAAATGGCCAACTGGTCATAATGGGAATTGTTCTCGGCTGGGAAAGGAACCGGTTCGCGAAAACGGGACCGGCTTTATCGATAATTTTTGCCTTCTGTTCGACACTGCTTTCGACTTGTCGGATTAAAGTGGTACCCACTAGATCCCATGCCATCGCAATATAATCCAGAATTATTGGCGGACGTGTTCTGATTCTGTCGGCTTGAGAAAGCATGCGACGGCCAAGGAGGAGTACCGTTATAATGGATATGCGGGAGCACTTTCTTTATGCATGAACCCGGATGTTGAAGTGAGGACTTAAGGATGATAGGTACCCACATGGCCGGCTACTTACAGCGTGGTGTAAGAGGAGCCCTAGAAAGAGAGAATAAGGAAAGGCGGAGCGCGATGTTGGCGATTGGCAAATTCGTTCATTTTCAGCTTTGCAGGGGGAAACGAGTTTGTTTTTTTTTTGTTAATGTGAGGAGTATGAACTCGAGAAAGTTTCTCACGCCACTTAATAAATGCAGAACATAGCGAAGAGAAATTGCGATCCGATCTGGGAGTCATGACGGGGGAGTTTCAGATTGCATTGAAAATAAGCCGCAAGTCATTGACCAGATGGCAGTGAGGTGGTTGGCACTGTGGTAGCTTGTCAAGTGAGTTAATTTTATGTTGTCAAGTCCATGCTAGTGATTAAAGTTGAATTACAGTGTCTTCCCGTTTTTGGCAACATGACTCCATTTTAGCTTCTTTCCGAAGTTTTTATACCAGTGCTACATAGGTCATCAGCCAAATATGGTTCCCAGAGCATGTTCTAGTTAAGGCTTACACTGAATATTATAGAAACCCGTATCAAAATAATCAATGTTGACTTAAGATGATGTTTTGTAAAACCATGAAAGTGAGATTTAGTTTGTGCGAAGTTTATCATCAATTTGTTCGCGAGGTTCTACGGTGCTGATTCATTGAGTTGAATAACGTACGGACGAAAAGTCATGCTCATTTCATTATGCATCAATACACAGATGGTACCAATTTAAGAACAGTAAAGAGCAGCAACATTACCCACTAAACTCTAGTAAAAAAAATTACGTCAGCCAAAAGCTGTTCCAATCGAACTGTCAAAATGCACTACTTTGTTCAATTGGGACAGCTTTTTTCGGTTTTTTGGTGACTCGTCCATGTCTTTACTAGAGGGCTATAATTATAACTTAAAAGGGTTTCTCATGTTTTAAAACCAAAATGTACTAGGGTAAACGCTCCTATAGTTGCCGTACGTTAGAAGCGTTAGGTTCCTATAATTGTATATTGAGTCTCCATGCACAACTACACTTTCCCCCCGAAAAGTGCGAGTAATACGTACCGCGTAAATCGAATTCGCATAAATGGAGTACACGTAGCATATGGGATTTGACCTAAAAGGGACCAACATGGAATATCTGACGATCCTAAGATTACTGTCTTCGGCATATAGAAGATTACTGTCTTCGGCAAAGTTGTTCAGTGGATCAAGACCCATACGTTGGTGGGCAGAAGTTTGAAATTGTCTCACTATGCGGCGCTAGTGTGCATGAATTAATGATGCCCTTGTTTTTGTGATATCTTGAAATCCTTGCCATCTAGGAAGTTGCTGTCTTTAGCGAAGTTGTTCAGTGGACCAAACCTGGTTGGTAGACAGAAGTTTGAAATTTCCTCACTATGCGATGCTAGTGTGCTTGAATTTGTGATTTCCTTGTTTTTGTCATATCCTGAAGTAATTTCCATCTAGGAAATTGTTGTCTCAGGTAAACTTTTTCAGTGGACCAAGACCTCATGGTTGGTGGACAGAAGTTTGGATTTTTTTTCTCACTATGCGGCGCTAGTGTGCTTGCAATAGTGATTTCCTTGTTTTTGTCGATATCTTAAAATCCTTTCCATTTAAGAGATCGCTGCCATCGGCAAAGTTGTTCAGTGGATCATGACCTAATGGTTGGGGACAGAATTTCGGTATTATCTCACAACGTGGCGCTAGTTTAAATGTATTGATGATTTCCTATTTTACGTGAAATCTTGAAATCCTTGCCATCTAGGAAGTTACTGTCTTCGGCAAAGTTGTTCAGTGGATTGAGTCCTAATGGTTGTTGGACAGAAGTTCGAAATTTTCTCACTACGCGGTGCTAGTATACTTGAACTTGCGATTTCCTTGTTTTGTGCCCTATCTTGAAATCCTTGTCATCTAGGAAGTTGTTGTCTTCGGCAAAGTTTTTCAGAGGACCAAAGCCTTATCGTTGATGGACAGAAGCTCGGAATTTTCTCACTAAGCGGCGCATTTTTATGTGATATCTTGAAATCCTTGCCATCTAGGAAGTTGCTGTCTTCGGTAATGTTGTTTATAGGATCATTACAATTGCAATTGATTATTTTTTACAACCATACCAAATATGAAAGTTTTTTAATTTTTAACTATCTACACGCAAACTAAAAATAGCAGCTGGGTGAAAATTACGAAGGAATGATAAAAGTGATATTGCTGATGACGATGTCGACTCTCCTGGACAACTTTCCATATTGGACTTTTGTGTTGCTCGAAGTCGTTTCCTGCAGCAAACAATGTTTAAGGGCAGATTTCATAATGTTATATTTTCCTAGGTTGTATTTTCCTAGAATGACAGGTTTTTGTTATAAAGCACGAAGAACATCTCACATATACAGCAGCAGGACGAAGTTGCCGAATTATCAACTAATTTATTTTTAAAAATGAACTGAACTGAACAACTTTGCCAAAGACTTCCTAGATGGCAAGGATTTCAAAAAATCACATGAACAAAGATATCACAAACTCAAGCACACTAGCGCCGCGTAGTGAAAAAAATCCGAACTTCTGTCCACCAACCATTAAGTCTTGATCCACTGAACAACTTCACCCAAGACAGCAACTTTCAAGATGGCAAGGATTTCAAGATATAACACGAGCAAGGAAATCACAAATTCAAGCACACTAGCCCCGCGTAGGGAGAAAATTCCGAACTTCTGTCCACCAACCATTAAGTCTTGATCTACTGAACAACTTTGCCGAAGACAGTAGCCTTCTATATGACCGACTTTGCGTTCTTCAGGGGGAGAGTGTATAGGAACTTAATGCTTCTAACGTACCGCAACTATAGGAGCGTTTCCCATAAAAGAGAAATATTCATTGAAAACTTGTTGGCCCTTGAAATCAAACTTCTTAAAAAATAGCGCCTTGGATCAGAAAACTTCCATGTTATTGATCTGAAATTTTGAAGAAAATATTCATACCCGGATCTTGAAAATGATTTCAAGCCCCAGAATCACGAAAATGCGGCTAATACTCGGTATCTTTAAAATTTAGCTTAGTCGCAGCATCTCGGATGTCCTGCCAGATTTTCGGAATCTTTTTTTTAGTTAGGTCAGAGAATATTGGACAGCCCGAAGACCCAGGACCATTACAAATTGGACTATTTTACTGAAGCTTGTGAATTTGGCTAAGTTACGAAACATAATAAATTTGGCTATATCCCGAACTTTTGGTAAGCATCAGAGGTTTGATAGTTTTATTCCTTCTTCTTCTTCGCATTTCATGCTTATTGCTTATCGTATATTAGCTTATTGCGTGCTCTCAACTTAGTGTTCGATTTGCACTTCCACAGTTTTTAATTGAG